TCTCTCCTAACCTCTCCACTTGCTTGTTTACTAACCATCTAAAAGTAACCTCTAGTTACTGATTCACCACCCAGTGGGCATAATGTCTCCCTATTGACTCTGTCAAACCCCTCACCATTTTACACACCTCAATCAGGTCACCCTCAACCTTCTCTGTTCCAGTGGGAAAAGTCCCAGCTCCTCCAGTCTCTGCTCATAAATCAAACCACCCAACCGATATCTTCCTAGTAAATCACCTCTACCCTCTCTCTCTCTCTGTCATCTTGGATCAGGTCTCTGCTGGAACCACCTCCATCTCAGGGAAGTGACAGGATGGTACATCCACAGCACTAAATATATAATTAAAAATATAATAGACTATATTGACTATTGGGTGGTCTCCTTTATACTCCTCATTTGCTTGTTGCCAGGCTGAGCAATTTCAACCTTTCATTCTGTCTTGTGATGTGTTGATTACAGTAAGGACCCAGATAAAGCAGTTGCCAATTGTGCCTAATTGTGGCCTTGGGATGAAGTGAAAGTGTTCCATTATCACCAGCCTATGATTTTGCTGTTCTGATGTTGAATGATTTTATGGAACCACTTATCTAGAGTTTCCAAAACGTTGGTTACCTGAAAACTGTAAATGAAGTTTTGGATTCTCTGTCCATGCATTTAATCACGGTCTTTTACAGGACTAAATTGACATAGCGTCAGTGAGACTGGCGTCTGTGCTCGAGAAAGTCTCCACTCTCCTTGGTCATTTCATACTGAGCTCATAATCCAGGTTCAGTAGAGCCAGGTGCTGTGAATGTGCACAGTAAAGAGTATTTCGAGTCCTCCAGCTTAATGTTTACAGAACTCGTCTCACAAGAGAGAGGACCTGTTGTTCATTTCCTGGGCAGGGCGAAATGTTGGGCAAGTTTCTTCACTCTGCTCGCCTCTGTGAACCTAGCAGTAAGTAGGAACTCGGTTACTAGTCGTTTGGCAGAACACTTTTCCGGGCATAATAATCTCTTCCAAAAAATTTGTCACTCAATCCACAATTAGCTGCTGCGTTTTGCCCACAAAATACAGTCAATTCACGTTACAGTATATTCTGCGAAGTGCTTTGGGACATCTCAAAGATATAAGGTGCTAAGTTAAATGCAAGATTATTACTGTTTTATATGCCAGACCTCTTGTTAAAGTCCAGCATCCCATTAACCTTACTGGTTGCAGAAAATGGCAGCTAAAGCAACGGAGCAACGAGAGATTAACATTTACATTTAAATGCAGGAGGCATTTGGATGAGGTAAATGTGTTGGGACTTATTTCAGAATAGCCGGATACTGCAATGGTGGGGATGGCAGGCAGGGGATTGTGGAAGGAAGAGATCAATTTAGCCAGGGGTTTGTTCACCTTTTACTGCAAGCCTGGAGATAGCTTGTGATCTAAGATAACCACAGACATAATCTCCCTTCCCCACCATAGGCATGATCTTGTGAAATAAAACATGACATTTACAACCGGAGCATAGCTGAGTGTCAGAAAGAGAAGCACTTCATTCTTTGTGGCTCAAAGACCCTTAACGTGCTGTCAATTAACAATTGTGCTTTCAACTTTTGAAGAATCCAATAGCTTATCAGCAATAAGAGAGCCATATTAAGCCTTATGGAGTCTGTATCCAGGTTGTGTGGAGAATGTATCGAGTGTGCATAGCTGTGTAAATCCCATGTATTGACTTTGTGGAGCCTGCGTAGAGACTTTGTAGAGATGTACAGAGCCTGTGTGAAGTGTGTGTGGAGCCTGTATTCTCCTCCAGCCCCCGACCGTCTCATGTTCCTCAGGGCTCTGTCTTTAGTGACTCCTCTTCAACCTGTACATGCTCCCTCTTGTTGACATCATCCGCATACATGTGGAAGTTGACCCCATGTCATCTCTCTGCGTCCAACCTCGTCTCCGGGACCACTGCTGTCCTGACAGAATGTCTGTTAGACATCAAGTCCTGGATCAGAGCTAACTTTCTACAGTCGAACGTCAACCGAGGCTCTCCCGATCCGCCACACCTCAGGCACTGACAGCATAAGCTCATCATCCAAGTTTGCACACTCCACCTCACCGAGCCAGTCCAGAACCTTGGCATCTTGTTTGATCCTCAACTCTCTTTTCTACCCCAAATCCGTGCCTTGAGCTGCTCTGCCTTCCCCCCACTCCGCAACATCGCCCGGCTCCACCACTGTCTCACATCGCAGGCCACAGAGACTCTCATACACGTATTCATCACATTTAGGATCGACTACGCCAACTCCCTGATTGTCGGCCTTCCCAATTCTTCCCTCCACAAGCTGCAGATCATCCAGAACTCTGCAGCTCATGTCCTCTCCCGCATCAGGCTCCGTGACCCCATCAACCCCACCTTCGCTTGACTCCACTGGCTCCCCATTCCCCAGAGGAGAGAGTTCAAAATCCTCGTCCTCGTCTTCAAGGCCCTCCACGGCCTTGCCCCTCCCTACCTCTGTGACCTGTTGACCCCATATCAACCTGTCCTGTCCCTCTGCTCAGCAGGCCACCCGGACCATCCCACCATCAGCATCCGGGCCTTCAGCCTTTCTGCCACCACCCCATGGGACTCCATCGCACATTCCCTTCACCTCGCTCCCTCACTTGCCTCCTTCAAAGCACATCTCAAAATCCTCCTTTTCGACCGAGCCTTCGGCCACCCTCCTACCCTCCACCTTAGCCGATAACCAGCTCAGGTCCAAATCCCTGACTGTCCAGCGCCTTGGGACGTCCTCGCGACGTGTGAGGCACTGCACAAATGTAATTTGTATTTTTGTTTGGTCTTGTATAGAGGCTGTGTTGAGGCTGTGTAGTCTATCCTGCCTCAATGCCCACCTTACCATCTGTCCATCTTAGAGTGTACCCCACACTGTCTTTTCGGGCAGATATTAACGATCCGGTTGGTGACTGTGGCCCCTGAATTAAGGTGAGGCCATCTGGTGGTTGAGAGGGGCAGTGAAGGGACCTGGACTGATGGATGGAATGAGGCACTGGAGGGATGGGGAGAAGCACGGTGACAGAGACTGGCAACGTTCACAATGGAGAAGAGCAGGCTTACGAGAGATCTTAGCGAGGCATTCGCCATCCTAAAGCGGCGAGATAAAGTGACCTCAATGATTACCATCACAAACAACGGCACAAGGGGCTGAGGACGGGATTCTGAGCAGGCGGGCAGAGTGAATGACTACTCAGAGAGTGTGATGAGTGGACAACAACGGGCAGATTATGTCAATAAATTCAAGAGGGATTAGCAGGTCTTGTGGGGAGGACATGTGCGAAGGGTGAGAGCTGGGTCCTGCGGGATTATTTTTAGCCCCGTCTCTTCCAGGCTGTGCTTTTCTTCATGTCCTTACATTGCCCTCAGAGATGCAGCTCGAAACACTAAATAAATCACTAAAGCAGTAGAAGACTCTCAGTCACCCCAGATCCCAGGAATGCCAGAGATCCGGAGCCTGATGGCACACTGACCTCCAGTGGATGTTCCGGGTTTCTGTTTTGGGGGCGGGTGGGAGGCCATGCCCCATGCCCTCTGCTTGGGGTGGGTGTTGGGGAATGGGGAAAGCGCTCCAGGACACAATCCCGCGTGACGGCGCTATATAAATGCAAGTTGTTGGTGTGGTTGGTGTTGAATGGGAACCTCTTGCCCAGTGCTGGAGGTATTGGCTCCTCCTGGGAGACAAGCATTGCTACGTTCACTGAAGGAGCCCAGACCCTGAGTGAGTGGGTCAGTTAGCATTGCTGGTCTCAAATCATCCACTGCGACCTGGAGCACTGGAGAGGGGCCCTGAGCGCTCCAGGCTCCTTCCTACCTCTGTGACCTGCTAACTCCATACCGTCACCCCCTCAGCCTCGCCCCCTCCCTCGCCTTCTTCAAGGCACGTCTCAAGACCGCTCCTCTTCCACCGCGCCTTCGGTCACCCTCCCAGCCCACTCTCCCTACCCTCCACCCCTCCAGAGCCCAACCCCCAGCTCGGGTCCAAATCCTTGACTGTCCAGCGGCTTGGGACCTCCTCCCGACATGGAAATGTAATTTGTTGTTGTTGGTCACTCCCTTGACGACTCTTGCGGGACGCTGTCACACGTCACAGTTCGTCAAGCTGTCGTACTGCGTCACGAAGCTTTGTGACGGTGTTTGAAACCCCCTTCTCTTTCCCAGCCGTGCCACGGAGTCCTGCGGCGCAATGGTCAAAGCCCTCGCCCCGCAAGCGAGAGGACCCGGGTCCGATCCCCGGGCAGGGCCACGTTCCCCGACTCCGCGCCCACGCCTCTGCGCACCCGGCGCCGGTCAGCGGATTGGCGGATCGCTTCCCGGGGCGGGTTGGGGGCGGGTAATAACGACTCCTCAGCCCCCAACCCCCGAAAAAAAAACTGTCGCTCGACCCACGGCTCGGGCTGCCGCGTTCCGCCCGCACAGTGTCCGGTCGCCGCGCTGGAGGGGTAGAGCCCGCGAGGCGCCTGGGGACGCCCGGGGGGGGGGGGGGGGGTGAACGAGGCTCCGCGTCAGGTTATCAATAAGGGATCTTGAAGGTCCACCCGGACAGTCCCAGTAGAGGGGGGGAGGGGGGAGGGGGGAGGGGGGCGAGGGGGGGGAGGGGGCGAGTGAGGGGGAGGGGGGCGAGTGGGGGGGGGGAGGGGGCGAGTGAGGGGGGAGGGGGGGCGAGTGAGGGGGAGGGGGCGAGTGAGGGGAGGGAGGGGCGAGTGGGGGGAGGGGGAGTGGGGGGGGAGGGGGGGAGGGAGGGGGGAGGGGGGGAGTGGGGGGGAGGGGGAGAGCGGCCTTCACTGTCGGCTCACAGTCACCGACGTGAGGCTCGGAACCCCCGGAGCGGAGTGAGAGCGGCTGAGCCCCGGGAGCCGCCCCGCGGGCAGTGCCGGCACTGGGGGAGCGGGTGGCGGCTGCGGCTCGGGGCTCGGGCTCGGGGCTGGCGGGAGCTGGTGGGGCCGGGGCCGGGGCCGGGGCTGAGGCCGGGGCCGGGGCCGGGGCGCGGGGAAGGCCCGAGGCCTCGGGCTGCGGTGAGCGCGCGGCGCCGGGGATGGAGGCCCACCACAGCCTGGAGACGGAGGCGGAGATCCTGCACAAGTCGCCGATGATTCACGGCAAAGAGCAGCTGAGGCTCGGCCACAAACCCACAGCCATCCTACTGCCCGCGGTGAGGCCCGCGCACCCCCACACCCCCCACAGCATATACCCCATACACCCCCACACCCCATACACCCCCACACCCCATACACCCCCACACCACACACCCCATATACACCCCCACACCCCACACAGCATATACACCCCCACACCACACACCCCCACCACACACCCCATATACACCCCCACACACCACACACCCCATATACACCCCCACACCACACACCCCCACACCACACACCCCATATACACCCCCACACACCACACACCCCATATACACCCCCACACCACACACCCCACACCACACACCCCATATACACCCCCACACCACACACCCCCACACCACACACCCTATACACCCCATATACACCCCATCACCCCCTAAACACCCCATATACACCCCACCCCCCCCCACACTACACACCCCATATACCACACACCATATACCCACACACACACCCCATATACACCCCACACCCCACCCCCCCACACCACACACCCCATATACCACACACCATATACCCCCACACACCCCATATACCACACACCACACACCCCCACACACCACACACCCCCACACCCCATATACACCCCATACACCCCCCACACCACACACCCCATATACCACACACCATATACCCACACACCCCATATACACCCCACACACCCCATACACCACACACCCCATATACCCCCCACACCCCATATACCATGTACCCCACACCCCATATACCCCACACACCACATATACCCCACACACACCATATACCCACACACACACCACCCATATACCCCCCACACACCCCATATACTCCACACACCCCATACACACCCCATATACCCCATATACACCCCACACACACCACATATACCCCACACACCCCATATACCCACACACACCCCATATACCCACACACACCCCATATACTCCACACACACCCCATACACACCCCATATACACCCCATACACCCCACACGCACACCCCATATACCCCACACACACCCCACACATACACCATATACATACCACACCCCATATACCCCACACACTCCCCACACACCCCATATACCCACACACACCCCATATACACCCCCCACACACACCCCATACACCCCACACACACACCCCTACCCCCACATACACCCCACACACACACCCCTACCCCCACATACACCCCACACACACACCCCTACCCCCACATACACCCCATATACCCCACACACACCCATGTACCCCACATACACCCTCCTACCCCCACATACATCACATATACCCCCCTACCACCACATACACCTCGATATACCCCACATACAACCCCCAACCCCCACGTATAACCCCCTACACCACATACATCCCCCAAACCCCACATAAACCCCCCCATGCACCATATACCCCACATACAACCCCTTAATACCACATACACCCCCATATACCCCCCAACACCACATACACCCCCCTAACCCCACATACGTCCACCTAACTCCACACACACTCTACATACTCTCCTGAACCCACATACACCCCACATACCTCACATATACCCCCTAACACCACATACAACAACAACAAAATTACATTTATAGAGCGCCTGTCACGTCAGGAGGACGTCCCAAAGCACTGAACAGTAAAGGTGTCGGGATCCGAGCATGAGGGAGGGACGTCCTCCCAATGTGAAAGGCCCTATACAAATGTAATCTTGTTGTTGTTGGTGTAGCGGTGAGGAAAGGCAGAGAGGTGGGAGGACGACCAATGGCACGCTCGAAGAAGAGGGTCTTGAGACCGGCCTTGAAGGAGGCGAGGGAGGAAGTGAGGCGAAGGGACCGTGAGATGGAGTTCCAGAGTGTGGGGGCAGAGAGGCTGAAAGTCCGGCCACCGATGGTTGGGCGGGAGACATGGTGCAACCCGGAGCCCGCTGAATGGAGGGAGCGGGCAGGTTGGTAGGGAGTCAGCAGGTCAGAGAGGTAGGAGGGGGCAAAGCCATTGATGGCCTTGAAAGTGAGGACGACGATCTTGAACTCGATCCTCTGGGGGGGGGGGGAGCCAGTGGAGTCGGGCGAGGGTGGGAGTGATGGGGTCACGGAGCCTGGTGCGTGAGAGTACACGAGCTGCAGAGTTTTGGATGATCTGCAGCTTGTGAAGGGAAGGGTTGGGAAGGCCGATGAGGGAGTTTCCGTAATCGAACCTGAATGTGGCGAATGCACGGATAAGGGTTTCGGCCGCCTGAGGGTGAGGCAGTGGCGGAGTCTGGCAATTTGTGGAGGTGGTGGTAGGCAGTGCCGGTCATGGTGCGGATGTGGGGGAGAAAGGACTGTTCAGGGTCAAACAAGACACCCAGGTTCTTGACATACTCCCACCATTTACCCACTAACCCCATGTACACATCATATACCCCTTAACCACATACACCCCCATATCCCCCCTAATCACATACCCCCAAACCCCATACAGACCACATATACCTCAACACCACGTACACCCACATTATACCTTCCTGATCCCACATATACCCCTAACCTCACATATACAGACAGACACACACAGAGACACACACCCCCACATAGATAGAGCGAGAGAATGAGACAGAAAGAGAGACATACACACAGGGTTAGAGAGGGGGACAATGACAGATTGAGAGACACAGACACACGGGGTCAGAGAGTGTGAGAGAGGCACAGAGAGAGTGAGAGCGACGGGGTCAGAGAGAAACAGAGATGGGATTAGAGAGTGAGACAGGTCACAGTGTCAAAGAGTGTTACACTGGGAATTGTGTCTGTCATGTGCTGTATGAACATGGCATGTTAAATAAGGAGAAACAATTTTGTTTATTGGTCAATGGGTGAAGAGCCATCAGATGAAAGGTGAGGAATTTCTTCACTCCAGTTCAGAGGCTATTATGGCTATTGAGAATTATCCTGAGGAGGGGTGGTGGGGGCGCAAAGGTAAGATATATCCCTTTTAGACTGAACTGGCTCCAAGGTGACATGTTTGGCAACTGAATTTCGGAATTGAGCCCACACTTTGTGATGTTCTCTAGTCCGGTTCCTGAGCCAGGCGGGTCCACAGTACTTCAGGGCACTACTGATGATCGCACAGCCCAGCCGGGCTTATCGGCAGGACTAGGAAGGGCAAAACCAGTCACCGGGGGCAGGGAATTCTCATACTCCGTTCCTGTTAACCCTGCAAGTCAAGCCCTAAACAGGTAGGGTGGTCCCAGGTGAACAAGCAGCGGGAAAGCTTGCCGGACAGCAATATCAATGGCAAATGTAGTTTTAGCTGATTAGACTCCGGTAGTTACCCCCAACACATACTCTGGGATCCCCAAGCCTTGGCTCTTGCCAAATTGTGCCTAATACTTTCTGGAATTAGGTAAGCAGGATGTGTCCCTCCGGGGAGAGCGCGGTCACCCCATTCCAGATACAAGGTAATTCCCTTGTGTAGGTGGCACATAATAGTGGAATTCTCAGTCTTAAGCACAATGAAAGGGGTTTCCATGTGTGTCAGAAACTCGACTGATCACGGTGATGGGTTTGTGCATGTGTTAAACACCCAGCTGACAAAAACAAAATCTATTGAGGTTGATCAATAAAATCACTCAAAAGGAATTGGAAAAGATGTGAGCAGCAATAACACTGAGAGATGGGGAGAAAGCTGGGAAGTGGGATGAATAAAAATGAGTGATATGGAGAAATGGCAGCAAAGATACAATGGTCTTAATCGTGCCCTCTGTGGTGAAAATGTATGTTTCTGGCATGTACTAAAGTTTCTGCCTCCGTGTGCTTGATTTCTACATGATATCAACTGAAAGAAGAGTTTTTATAACTAGATACAGGATAGCAGACTGGCGTTTGGATCTGATTTCACAGCATTGCTGATCTGGGTTGGAGGCACATTGTTTTGAAACATTCATGTGCACTACACCTTCCTCACTTTGAGGAAACGATTTTCCTTGTTGGGATAGAGGGGTGGGGAGCCTATGTGTGGTCTACCTGGAGCTGAGCTGGCTCCGAAATGATGTACGTGGTAAGAACGTTGAACGTTGAACGTTGGAGTCGAGCCCACCCTCTGTGATGGTCTCTAGTATGGTTCCTGAGCCAGGGGGGTCCACGGTACACCAGGGCACTGCTGATGGCAGCACAGCCAACCTGGCTCATCGGCAGCACTTGGAAGGGCTGACCAGTCACTGAGGGCAGGGAGACCTCCCACTCAGCTCCCGTTAACCCTGCAAGCCGAAGCCCGAACAAGACTGTGGGATCGTGGAAAACACTTCAATTGCGTCTTATCTTGGAATAACTGGAAGTTAAAAACTGGAAAACCAGCTTCCAAAATTAAGCTTAATAAAGATTTATTTTCCACAATTTTAAAACAAAATGGTCTTACAGGCGGGGGCAAGGCGGAAGGGGCTGGGATTTAGGGGACAGGCTTTAAATTGCTATAACATGTTGTAACATCGAGTGCTCCAGGACGCTATCCCGCGTGAAGGGCACTATATAAATGCAAGTTGTTGTTGTAATTGACTGTTTTTCCTTGTGAACAGTCCTCCATGAGCAGCCACTCACCGGACACGTCTCTCTCCCCCATCGATACCATGAATTCACTCTCCAATTTTGAATCTGAAATAGACCATGACGGCCAGGGGAATTACTCACTCTTTCCAGCCTTGGATAATGTGACCAGCCTTTCGGGAACCAGTGAGACCTTGGAAACGTAAGTCTAGCTATTGATTCAGGAACTTTGTCCTAAAGGAATGATGTTGTATATAAGAACATAAGAATTTGCTGGCGAAAGAAGACCAAGGTCCATCTAGTTTGCCTTCCACCATCCTGGCAGTCGCTTGACATGTCGCGTCCCAAACTATATACTGTATCCTAGGATATTATTTTCTAGTAGAAATCTGTCTAATTTGTTCCTGTAACAAATTATATTTTCTGCTTCCACTGTCTTACTGAGAGAGAGCCTGTACCCTAAGTTTACTATTCGCTCACTGAAGTAGTGTTTCCGAAGATTTGTTCTTTTGTATTGTCGTTGCCCGTGTGCTGTAAAGGGAGCGAAGTATTTGGCACATCCCACTGGACTGTGCTGGGGAGGGAGCTGACAGCAGATTCTGTGAAGCGCTTTGGGTCGTCCTCCTGGCATGAAAGTGCCGTATCAAATGATCAAATGATTATTATTGTAAGTGATTGATTCCTGGCTTTTGTGACACAGCTTCTGGGTTCATATCCTGATGGATTTTCTCAGCCTTTCACCTTTCTCAGGCTGAACTGGAAGGGAGAGCATAATACATGCGATCCTCTGGCTCTGACAAGACACAGCAAAGCCAGGGGGTGGGTGTAATAATCTACAGCCGTTTTGAGGGAGGGGGTGGTGGGCCGGTGGGGCAGGGGGAATATTTATTCAGACCTGATTGAACCAGGTCAGGTTTGGTGGGTAACTGACAGTAATACAGGTGGCAGGACTCAGGGACACACTGAGCCGGGATCAACCAGAGCTCAGGGAGGAGTGAGAGGAATAGGAAATAAATCAGAAAAATTGACTTTTACTGGCAGTTCTGATGGGTCAGAAATGGGGAGAGATCATCAGGACAGAGACGGGGGGAGATGAGAAGGAGAGAGATGGGGAGAGATTAGTGGGTGGATATTGAAGTAATTACTAGATGTGATTAATACCTCCATAGCCATCTTCACCTATTATATGCAGATAATGTCTCGTCCCCTTTGACTGAATCTCTTGTGTGGAAGACAGTTTAATTATTAGATGTTCCGCATGGAGGAAGAGCTGGAGAGTGAGATTAATAACACAGTGATAATTAAACTAGCAGACGCACAATGGTCCCGTCTGTGCTGGAGATCTCTGTGTTTGTGCCTGAATGTTCTTTCTCTGTCGGTACTTTGCATGTGTGTATACTTAATCAGTTACCATTCACATTTTACAGCTACAGCCTGACTAAATGATTAAACGGGAGCTAGATACTCACTCACACAGCATCCCCTTTGAAACATTACAATATTGTATGTGAATTTTCTGCAGCATGCCCACAGGGGTTGAGAGTGGTTTGGGTCAGTCTCCTCTCTGTGCTGAGCGAATTAATCTTAAATCTGTAATAGGAACCTTCACAGGTATATCAGGATGAACTTGCTCACAAGTAGGGAACGGATTTTCTTTCGTTAGTCGGGTGCTTGACATGTGGAAACCACCCACCATGCATAAGAATATGCAAACACCTGGCTCAGCAGCTTGGCAACTCAAGAGGGTTTGATCGGTTCTGATATTCCAAAGCCAAGCACTCCACCATATAATAATTATAATAATTCTTACATTTGATGTAGCACCTTATCATATCGACAGGATGTCTCGGGAAAGAGCTTCAGAGAATATACTGTAAAGTGTAGTGGCAATCTACTTTTATGTGGACAGCAGATAGGTAGACTGCAGTAGCCCACAAACAGCCATGTGGATTCCTGTAGCGCTTGCCTCTCAAGCGAGAGACCTGGGTTCGATTCCTGGGCAGGGCGAAATGTTGGACAAGTTTCCTTACTCCACACGCCTCTGTTTACATAGCAGTAAGTAGAAACTTGGTTGTTAGTCGATTGCCAGATCGCTTTTCCAGGGATAATAATTCCTTCAAAAAAATAATAATAATAAATTGGTCACTCAAATCACGACTGTTTGTAGGACACTGTTGTGCGTAATTGGCTACCGGGCTTCGCGCACAAAATATACAGTCTGTTCACTTTACAATATATGCTGTGAAGCGCTTTGAGGCGTCCTCAAATACAAGGATTGTTATTATTATTATAAAACACATTGAGCAAAATGTCACTGGACAAGTCGACGAAACAGAGGACTGTTATTGGAAGTACATTGCCTCCAGCTGTTACTAGACCTGTCCTGTCGCTGTGTTTGAAAGCCATGGTTTTTAATATTTACATGACGTGTTTCTTCTGTCTCCCGCCAGCGAGCCAGCAAGTGATGTGAGTGACAAACCCAACATGACCTGGTTGGATGCAGCACAGGTACTGTCTGATTACTGACTCAATATACAGGCTTGTGTTAGTTACTGTGAAGGCCATTCCATGTGTACCGTGCAGTGACTTCACATAAAAGAAAATTTTCTGTAATACACAATAATAACAACAAATTAAATTTACACAGAGTCTTTCACATCAGGAGGACGTCTCAAGGCGCTGGACAGTAAGGGATTTGGACCCGAGCTGGGGGTTGGGATCAGGCCAGGTGGAGGGCAGGGAGAGGGTACGGGTAGGAGGGTGGCCGAAGGCACAGTCAAAGGAGGATCTTGAGGAACTTGGGTGTCTTGTTTACCCTGAACTGTCCTTTCTCCCCACATCCATGCCATGACCGGCACTGCCTACCACCACCTCCGCAACATTGCCAGACTCAGCCACTGCCTCACCCTTCAGGCTGCCCAAACCCTCACCCACACATTCTTCACATCAAGGCTCGATTACGGAAACTCCCTCATCAGCCTTCCCTTCACAAGCTGCAGATCATCCAAAACCAGGTGCCGTGACCCCATCACTCCCACGCTCGCCAGACTCCACTGGCTCCCCATCCCTCAGAGGATCGAATTCAAGATCCTCGTCCTCACTTTCAAGGCCATCCATGGCCTTGCCCCATCCTACCTCTTTGACCTGCTGACTCCCTACCAACCTGCCCGCTCCTCCGTTCATCGGGCTCCGGCCTGCTCCATGTCTCCCGCCTGACCTGCCCTACCATCGGTGGCCGGACTTTCAGCCTCTCTGCCCCCACACTCTTGAACTCCATCCCACAGTCCCTTCAGCTCGCTTCCTCCCTTGCCTCCTTCAAGGCCAGTCTTAAGACCTTCCTCTTTGATTGTGCCTTCAGTTGCCCTCCCACCTCTCTGCCTTCCCTCACCCCACCCCTCCCCCATGCTCGGGTCCTGACCCCTGATTTTCCAGGGCCTTGGGCAATCAGGGGTCAGGAGAAATATATCAACAGAGTAACAAAGTGTATTATAAATGCATATATGCTAACTGATAACATTTTAAAAGCAGAGAGACCAAAAGGTTAACATACACCAATCTTTAAAGGTGGGAAGGCAAGGGGACAAAGTTGTGAAGAAGCTCATGGGATCCTAGGTTTTATAAACAGGGGTACAGAATATGAACCAAAGAGGCAATGCTAAATATATTATTGGGGCCATAGTGAGAGGAGATTTACTAGGATGATACCAGGATGAGTGGTTTGGCTATGGAGCCTGGAGGAATCGGGCCAATTGTGTCTGGAACAGGGAAGGTTGAGGGGAGACCTGATCGAGGTGTGTAAATAATAATAATTATCCTTGCATTTAATATAACACCTTCTTCGAGACATCTCAAAGATGATGAGACGTTTGATAGTCAATGGGGAGAAATAGTTCTCACTGGTTGATGAGTCATTGACGAGAGGGAATCAGTTTAGGATAGTTAGTGAAAGGGAGAATAGGAGGGATGTTTACACTGAGACTGGTTAGGATGAAGGAGGAAGTAGGAGACAAACGACACAGGTTTTCAGACAGGTTTGAAAGCAGAGAGGGAGGGTGTTAGGCAGAGGGAATTTGAGAGCTTTCCAGAGAGTGGGGCAAAGTCAGTGACAGCTCAGTTCCTGATGTGGTTTTGAGTGTTGGTAAAAGTAAGAACAGGTATCTTCAATATAAACCAATTTTAACTATTTTGTGCTCGTTACTCTCTCTTTCCCTCTCTCTCTGTACCTCGAAGATAGTCTAATTTAATTTACTTCTGGCGTAAAACTCTCCCAGATTGCCCTCCCACAGCGTAGCACTGCTCCTCTAACCTTTAGTATTGCTTTCAGTACCCACGTGAAAGGCGCTATATAAATGAAATTTGTTGTTGACTCTTTCCACGTTATGGATGAGTATTGCCCCTACAGCACTCAGTAATCTTCACATTTTGTTTCCGCAGATTGTTCTGGAAGAGGCCGGGAGGCCTCTGCACATCAAGGAGATCAAGCAAAGGATTCTGGACAGGGGCCTGGTGCAGTCAAAGTAAGAAAGCTGACGTTCTTGTTCTCACTGTGTCTGTCACTTGATCTCTGTAAGCAATGAGTGCAGTGCTCACTAAAGAGAAGGGTGTGGTCCATACTGCAGTTACGGTCAGAGTGCTGGGTGATGTGTAAACAAGGCGTATCAGACTGGGGAAATAACGTTTGCCTGAACGGGCATGAATTTGGTTGTTTGTGCTGAATCCAGAGGTCCTGTGGTCGGTTTATACATCGCTCGCTCGCTTGCCACACTGCTGTAATTATTCTGTAATAAGGTTCTGTGCAGTGGAAGTGGACAGACTGAATCCTGATTGAGGAGTCATGTCCCAAGGACTAGTGTTAGCCACTCATTGGCTTCAATAGCAGCTTCTTTGCATATCTTTTTCCACCTTCTGTTGTCAGCCAACTGGGTGTGAGTTCACAAGGTGGGTGTCAGCTTGTGAGGATGCGGAGCACCACTGGCTTCATTCAGCAAGTTTAGGTACAGAATCCAGGATAGAAAAGCTTGATACTTCAGGAAAGGTATGAAGAGAAATGGAGAAGTTAGTTGTTGATACGTGTGAAAAACCACCACGATGATTTAAGTGTATCCAAACCAGACTGAGCTCCATGTTTGCATAGAAATGTCCCAGTGTGTGGATTGAAAGCTACACTCTCTCCCTGGAGAAATGCATCCTGCTTACCTTGTCCTGGAAAATATTAGTAGCAGATTGGCAAGAGCCAAGGCTAGGGGGTAACCAGCTACAAAGGTGCAGTGACTGGGTTTCATGGGCAGTTGTGTACAGTAACATTGCACAAACAGGCATGAAGTGAATGAGCAGTTTTATTTTGTGTGTGAGTACTTGTTCAGGACACCAGGAGAAAATCCCTTTCGAATAGTGACATAATAATATCCACCTGAACAGGCACAGACGGGGCCTTGATTTAACTTCTCATCCGAAGCCACAGGTTGGTGAGAGCCAACACTTGGGGAATCAGAGTGTGCATTGGGGTAACAGCTGGAGTAAAATGAAGCAGCACAGCTTGCCATTGAGAGTACTGTCTGGCAAGCTTCCCATTGCTTGTTCAGCAAGGACCACCCTACATGTTAGGGCTTTGGCTTTGGTTAACAGGAGATGAGAGGGAAGATTTCCTGGGAAATGGGCTGCTATGATAATTCATTACAATAGCAGAAAGATGAATGTCCCACTGCTGTGTGCCTGAAACCTTACAGTCAGGTTGCTGACGATAGCTCAGTAACTCAGTGTTGTCCAGTGCTGCTCAGCTGATCTCTTGCAGGGATATCAATAGATAGAGAAAAGAAACCTTTCATTGGATTGACATCTGTTTTCTGGTGGAAGATCTTCCTCGCAGTTTATGGGCCAGAAAGACTTGCTTGTTTACAGCTCAGACCACCTTTGTCCAGCAGGGCATTGACACAGCACCCAGCAGCTAACACTCCCAACAGCTCACACATATCACCCATCCCTGTAGCTCAGTGGTTAGAGCGCTCGCCTCGCAAGCGAGAGACCTAGGTTCGATTCCTGGCAGGGTGAAATGTTGGGCTAGTTTCCTTACTCCGCAGTTTACCTAGCAGTAAGTAGGAACCTGGTTGTTAGTCAATTGGCGGATTGCGTTTCTGGGGCAATAATTCCTTAAAAAAAATAATAATAATAATTGGGTCAGTCAATCCACGAGTGTTTATGTGCTATATTAAATGCAAGGATTATTATTATTACTATCCCAGCAGTTAGCACTCACTGATCTCACGTTCTCTCCCTATCCACAGCTCCAAGTCCAGTCTGGAAGCAGTGCTGTATCGGGAGGTAAGGAGTTCTCTATTCGTTGTGGGGTCCGTGTGCACTCACGTCAGCATTCAAACCACCCCCGGGCCTCGGCTCGTCTATACCACTTGGTGAATGTGCTGGCTCTCACTGCTCAGAGGGGTCATGTTGGAGGTCACAAGACTGTCAGCGGGGGGGAAAGTGACACTTTATTCTGTTCAGGTGTTGGCTGCTCATTTTATAAACGTTCCACACCACAGTCTGATACAACACCTTCACATCGGCACAAGTATCTAGCGTGTGCTTCTCTGCGCGTCATAAAGATTGTCAGAGTTCAGGATAGAGTGAGGGTGGGGGCCATCAGTCACTGACGTGGCCAGGTTCCTGTTTGTGGTCACTGAGCAGTTCTGTGTGAGGAGCTGCTTTTCCCAGTACATTGGTGCCAAGTACACATTGACATCCTGCTCCCTGTCTGTCCATGTTCAGCGGCTGCTCAGAGGCAGCGCTAAGCTTTGCTGTTAGTGAGCAACTGACATCCAGAGATCACAGATTGGCACACACCAGGAATTAGTTATTTTGCTTCAGATTGTTCCAGCGCAGCTCTAAATATACACCCCCGCCACACACATGTACACCCCCCCACACACACATATACACCCCCATCCCCACACACAGATACACGCCCACACACATGCATATACACCCCCACACACACATATACACCCTCCCCATGTACACACACATATATACACAAACACAAACGTACATACCCTCACACACACACACATATACACCCCCACACACATACGCAACATGATGGGTTGGGGTTATGCAGGTCAACCAGGTAGAGAGTAGATTTGGGTGTCATCTAATTAACCACATGTCTGCGAATGACACTGCTAAGGGAAAGCATGTAAATAAGGCAAAGAGGGGAAATAAGCGTGGAGCCCTGGGGTGGAGGTGGGGATAGGAGGACAAACCATTCGCGGAAGCAAAGGGATGGCAATTGATTAAGTAGAACTCGAACCAGGGAATTCTGACCCAACACAAACATAGCCAGAGTAAAGAGGTTAATAAATAGCTTAGTGTGTTTGACAATGTGAGAAGCCCAACAGAACAAAGGACTTACAATAAAATTACAGTCTCCAGAGTGGTAATTGAACCAAAGCCCTTTAATAATATCATTGTGAACCAAGCCTTGCAATGTAACAGCTTGTTGTGCCTCAGCCTCTCAAATGATTATCAGGAACTAAATCCCCACCGGCAGTATTCTCTCTAAGGTTGCTGCTTCTATTGAGAAACATTGTGCAGTGCATGTGAGTACTGTGGTTATCTGTAAACACTGTACACACACCCCTTTGTGGCTTTGAAATGCTATATCCAACTGCCTGTTTGGGAAGCTAGTCATCTCCTGCTGAGGCCAAGCTTTGGCAATCAGGCCTGAGGGACAGACACAAGGAGATACAGTGCAGTATCCCTCCCTTCTCTTGTTCGTTGTTGCTGCTGGGTTGTTGTGTTGTGCTGTAAGTGGGCTGTATAAGAAAGTTAATTGAATTTGTGCTAGGAATGCAAAGGAATATACTTGGCTTCACAGCCTATCTGCTGTTGATGATAAGCTTGGCATCTTTGCTGCATCCCTCAGCAGGTTTTGTCTCTGTCTGCCTGCCCTGCCTGCCTGCAGGCTTCTCCTGGGTGATTTTTGTGTCGTGGACACACCTTGAGGGAGTTGGAAGTTGCTTGGTACCAGCCTCAGTCAGCGCCCTCCTAGCTAGTCCATCCCGCTTCAGTGCCAGAGCTGTCAGAGCAGCAGCCAGGGATATTGCCTGTGTTTCGTGGTTGGCATCACAAGTGGTGAGTTAGTTTCTGGGTTTTCGCTGGTTCCTGGCAGTATCCCCAGGCTCAGTGTAAGGTCCCTAATGCCTTGGCCTCTATCACCCTATTCTTTGGGTAAAGTCACCTCGGACACGTCCACCTTTCATCCTGTGGAATGTCAGGAGTCAGCCACAGGCACGAGAGACACAGTAAAGGGCTGGGATGGCCGTGCTTCAGGTCAGCGTCACTGTGCTGGGCAGAGGCTGCAGCTGTGAGGACTGCCCAGCAACTCAGGGCATTGCTCTTTGCTGTGCAATCCATCACTGCGGAACAGTGCGGGGAATGGAATCTCACTGCTCAGCCAGTGAAGCAGCACAAGCTTGGGTGGTCACGGATGTGCCAGGGACTTGCTAATTGAATGTGACTTGGTTGTGTAGTTTGCCTACTGACCGCTTCCTTTCAAGCACAAAGTGATTATGCCCATGTCCAGGTTGTACTCAGCAGATTTGATCCACCTCCAGCGCTAACCGAAGCATGTCCTCTCTCTGTAGCAGCAGCCTGGCCATGTCCTGGTGGAACCCTTCACCCATGAGGAATGGTGATCTGCAGAAATCGCAGGATTAAGTGTAGAGCTGATCCCCTCAGCCACACTGTATTTTATAGATTCCTGAATATCTCATTAATGGCTGGTTATATGGTTGGATCACATTGCCATACACAGACGTACGCACATCCATGGACACCCACGCCATTACACATACATACAGACATTTTTCCCACCTTTTATCCTATTGTTGTGTGTGTTTCTTTCTGTTGATCGTTGGTTCTGTGACTGTGAAATGCATTTCCTTTGATCTTGTTTGCTTTTGTCCCTTTTATTTTCCAGTTGAGTTATTTTAACCATTGTAACTATTGTGGAAACAGCTGCTATCTCTTCAAATGCTCCGTTCTGTCCCAATAGATAGTTGTTGTGCTGTCTAATTCTCTTTAAGCTGATCTCATCAGCCAGTTCAGGTGGTTACCTGTGCCTGGCTGCTATGTGGGGTGAGACGCAGTTGGTTGTGTGGAAGTGACCAGCTGAGAGTGTCAGTGTCTTATATTGCAGACTCAGAAAGGGAGCAGACGGTTCAAGCGGCTTGAGAACAGGAACGGAGTCTTTGCTCTGTTGGTAAGTGTGACACTCAGAGGCATGTCTTTGCTCTGTTGGTAAGTGCCTGAGGACTGCAGGGTTGCAAGTGTTACAGCCCTGTTCGAAAAAGGGGAGAGGAATAAACCTGGTAACTACAGGCCAGTCAACCTAATGTCGGTGGTGGGGAACTTCTAGAGACCATAATCCGGGACAAAATTAATTTACAATATTATATAATAATCGTGCATTTGATATAGTGCCTTATCTCAAAGCGCTTCACAGAATATACTGTAAAGGTATTTGGAAAGGAAAAATTTGCAAGGATATGGGGAAAGAGCGGGGGAGTGGGACTGATTGGGTAGCTATTCCAAAGAACTGGCACAGGCACAATGAGCCGAATGGCCTCCTTCTGTGCTATAATATTCTATGACTCTACTCGAGTCTTATTTTAAATTGGCTACAGCTTTAACAAGGGAACATTTCAACAGAACGTTTGTCACAATCTCAGTAAGTGACACCAGCACAGGCACAATGGGTCAAGGGGTCTGCCTCTTGCTCTGTCACTCTTCTCTGAGTCAATGCCATGACGAGCATTGGAGAGATGTGGAAGGGCTGAATGATTTTATGTTTCTCGTGTTGTTGTTGTCCACATTCTTTTTGTTTCTCTTTTTGTTGTCTCCACAGTTTAATTTTATATAATTTCCCCTCTTCCTCCACCCCACTCCTCACGGAAGTAGACCGGGACAGTGCCATTCACGAGAGAGCCAGTGCAATGCTGGGCACTCGGCCAAATGAGGATTCAGCAAGTCACCTCCCAAATGAGCAAGGCTGCCCAGCTAGTCTCCACCCTCGACAGCAGACACACATGTGGAACCCCACCTCTCTCTCCCAGCAGAGACACTTATCTAGTGGCTCCACATTGGAGCACATCTCGAGGTCTATCCTCTGCCCCTTGATGCAGTTCATTCCGACAGGAGCTGAAATGGGTGCCCGCAGTGAGCAATGCTCTTCTCTCGGCTCCAGGTTTATGTCAGACTCCGTGCAGAGCGAGGAGTACCTTTCCCTTATCAGCACCAAACCTCCAATTTCAAATCTTTAATGCATATTAATGACATTTAGTACATAACCAGATAACTCCCAGCTCCTGGGCAGATTTGGACATTGCAACCTGGTTCGTTCCACTTCTCCCAACAGCTCTCTCTGATCAGTGATCAGTGCAGGAGCACAGTGGGGTTGGTGATCCTATGAGACTACATACAAACAATAACAGGAAAACCCATCAGCTTCATAATGTGACAGTCGCTTCCAAATGTTCCCAACTGATGTGTCCATTAGTTCAGGTTAAATATTCAGAGCATCAGATCAGAGTAAGGTTGACCTCTGTGTTTCATGATTACCATGCACTTGGGGTCCTTGCAGCTATGTACAGTGTGCAGGAACTCTAAGGCAGAACAGCAGTTGAGTGACTGGCGTGAGGCTCTCAGCCTGCTCCGGACAACTGCTGAAAGCACGGCTCCGGACGCGGGCACAGCGTGGGCGAGTGTGAAGCTTGTTGCTTTGAAAGAAAGTCACACATCAGCTACACAGAGCAAAGTCTCAACCATTACAGAGGTCTCTGCCCACATCTGTGTAGTGCTTCTCAGTTAAACCACTGGCTCCCCGCAAGCAGGGTCTGGCGTGGACCATTGTCTTCAAATAATACCAAAATACATAGAAGCAGGAGGAGGCCATTCAGCCCCTAGAGCCTGTTCCGCCATTCTATAAGATCATGGCTGATCTGTACCTCAACTCTAGTTGCCCACGCTAGCCTCATATCCCTTGATACCCTGACCTAACAAATATCTATTTACCTGAGTCGTGAAAATGTGAATGGATCCAATATCCACAGCCTTTTGGGGAGAGAGTTCCAGATTTCCACTACACTTTGGGTAAAAAACTGCCTCCTGATTTCACTCGTAAATGACCTAGTTTTAAGACGATGCCCCCTGTTTCTGGATTCCCACACCAGAAGGAATAGTTTCTCTAGCCACCATATCAAATCCCTTTATTATTTTAAAAACCTCAATTAGATCACCCCTCAACCTTTTAAACTCAAGGGAATACAGACCAAGTTTATGGCACTTGTCCTCATAATTGAACCCTTTAAGCCCCGGTATCATTCAGGTGAATCTGCAACGGCACCCCATCCAGAGCCAATATATCCTTTCTGATGTGCGGTGCCCGAAACTGAACGCAGTACCCCAGATGGGGTCTGACCAAGGCTCAATACGGTTGAAGCATCATTTCCTTTGCTTTATATTCCAGCCGCCTTGAGATAAAGGCCAACATCCCATTAGCCTTTGATAACAACAACTTGCAGTTTCTTCATTCTTCTTCCCATCTTGATCTTCATCTTCACCACACTCCCTGTGGCAGCTCAATCATTGCACTGACAAAAGGGAACCTCACGCATTTCGTCATGTGATTTCTAACGGAATATTAGGAAACGCTGATAGAAATTCTGTATTTTACAAGCTGAATGTCTGCAATGTAACAGCATGTAGGGGAGAGCAGCTTGATTTGAAGGTTATGGATTGTGACACGATCACTGAATAGTCAGCCTTTTGCTCACCGAGTAATTGTTTCAGAGCTCTTGCTATAAGCTTTCATTTGAATGTTCTACATAAACTGAGGGCTGATCATTAAATCCAGTCAGGCAGATGCTTTGTGTATCCAAGAAGAGCCCTCTACCAATTCATCTGTTGAGCTAAGAGCCACACAAGCATGATCCCCTGTTCTGCCCATCCACCACAATTCCTTCCAGCAACAGTCAATGATCTTTTGTTCAGCCCCTGTAAGGCAGCGGGATCAAGAGGTCCCACGTCCCTTCTCCCTCTCCCCCTGTACGGTGAGTTCTGGCTTCAGTCTGCTGTCACTCCAGGTTGCTTCAAATAAGGCCAAAACGTTGGGCAAGTTTCCTCTGTTTACCTAGCAGTAAGTAGGAACCCTTTTGGTGATGGAGATCGCTTTTCCGGGGGAAATAATTCCTTTAAAATAAATAAAAATAATTTGGTCGCTGAATCCACAATTGTTTGTGGGATACAACTATGTGCAATTGGCTGCCACATTTCGCCCACAATTTAATTCACTTTACAGTATAATCTGTGAAGCGCTTTGAGGGTCTCGAAGACATGATAAAGCGATATATCAAATGCAAGGATTATTATTTATTAAATCCAAATCAGAAGCCAGCTTTGTTTTCCAAAGTCCCTGTGTCATCTCCAGCTGAGCAAACAGTTACTGAGCCATGCTCTGTTCGTCATCCTCGGCCATCACTGACTCATTCTGGGTCATAAGTCTCAGGCCTTGTTTGATCAAATTTGTCTCCACGTCCCCTATCAGTTCCAACTCGATGATAGCTGAATGGACTGCCTTGAGAAACTGCACAAAATAGCTCCGACACATTCAGCAGCAATCCGATTAATTCCTCGTTTTGTTTCCTTCAATTCTCTCCAAGCCTTTTCTGAAGATCTGACTCCTTTTTCCTTCTGCTGGGGTTCCAGCTGCACAACGCCCCCCCCTCCCCAGGCCATTCCCCACCACAGGGCCGGCTGACAGTGATCATGGCCCCTTCCCAAAATACACTTGACAGCGGGAGGAGGTGTCTTGGTTGCGATCAGGGGAGAGGACCTAAGCTGATATTCCCTTCCCAAAACCTAGACGAGCCCAGTTGTTGGCATGTCTGCTCCATGGCTGAGATCGGTAACTCCGCGTAGACAAACTTTAGAAGAAATCTCAAATCAGGGAGCCAAATCTGTTTGCATTAAGTCGTGTCACACCACGGGTCAGCAGCCTCTCTTAAGCACATCCACACTTTGGTTTGGAGAACAATACAATACAGTACGAATTAACATTTACACAGCTTCTTTCACGTTGGACGGACGGCCCCCCAGTCCTAACAATCCTGGCTGGTCACCCAAGGTGGGATTGGGTGGAGTAGAATAATGACTGAAATGCGGTCAGAGAGATGAGTCGTGAGACGCAGTTAAAGCTTCCTGTGCTTACAGCAAGTGTGAGATTAACGAGTATAATCACTTTTCCTTCTAGAGTGAGGAAGAGCGACAGCAGCTTGTGCAGACATATCCACCACAGCCTTTCCTGGCTCCCGTGCCTCAGGGGCCGGTGTATGCAGGCAGCGGGCTGATAGACCCTCTCTCCAGCTTCCCGGCCCCCTCCATCCTCCAAGACTCCAAGCCCAAACTCAAGAGGTCACTGAAGAAAAGCCTCAACGAGAAATATCGGCTCAAGTTCCTGCGGCTGCAGAAGACAGTGAAAACTCTGATCTTCGTGAGTGTTTGAGGCCCTGAGAGCCTGCTCCATTCTCTGTGTTGCGCTCAGCTGTGTGCCCTTACTATGTGCCCTCCCTCGCGCTGTGCCCTCCCTCGCGCTGTGCCCTCCCTCGCTCTGTGCCCTCACGTTATTCCTTCACTCACTCTGTGCCTTCACTCTGCCCTCACGCTGTTCCCTCACTCACTCTGTGCCCTTGCTCTGTGATAGAGAGAGCGTGGGGAGCATATGTGTATATAAGAGAGTGTGTTTGTGTGTGTATTTAGTGACAGAGAGAGCATGGGAAGTGTGTGTGTATTTAGTGACAGAGTGGTGTGCTCTCTGCTCAGCCTGTCTGTGTTTTTCAGGAGAATGCAGCTCTCTGTGATGAAATTGCTCACATTGAGCAGAAGTTTCTCAGAGCCAAAGAGGAAAGAAGGTAAGGAATGGTTTCCACTTGATGCTTTTCTTACAGATTTCTGTGTAGTTCAGTTCTCTGGTTCCCAAATGGCCAGCTAGTCACCCTTTCCTGGGCGGGTGGAGGTGGTGGGAGGTAAGCGGGGTCTCCCTGGAGCTGAATTGGCTCCAAAGTGACATGTTTGGCAATGGAAAGTCATAATCAAGCCAGCCCTCTGGCAGATTCCTGTCCAGTTCTTAAGCCAAGCGGGTCCGTAGTATTCCAGGGCACTGCTGATGACAGCACAGCCCAGCGTGGCTCATCAGCAGGACTTGGAGGAACAGATCAGTCACTGGGAGGCAGGAAATCCTCCCACTGAGCTCCTCTTAGCCCTGCAAGCCAAAGCCATAACGGGTAGCGTGGTCCTAGCTGGACAAGCAGCAGGAAAGCTTACCAGACAGTGCTCCCAATGGCAAGCTCTGTGGTTTTAGCTGGTTAGACTCCAGCAGTCACCTCAACGCACACTCTGGGGGCCCCAAGGTTTGGCTTTTGCCAACCTGCACCTAATACTCTCTGGAATTAGGTAAGTAGGGGGTGTCCCTCCAGGGAGAAAATGCACATTCCATTCCAGACCCAGGACTTTCCATGGTGACGTACATGGGCTTCTTAGTTTAGATATTCTTCAGCATGGTGAAGGGTTTCCACATGTGTCAGACACCCAGCTGAGTTTAAAAATAAAGGTTCACAGTGCAGTCTGATGTTGAGGGGTTACATGCTGAGATGTCTCCGACACACAAACACTTCCTCAAGTCAGAACTTTTGAGTGCTGAGCGGAGTCCTTATATCACAGATTCTCAGAGCTGCCTGTCCCTGTCTTGCCTGACTCCCTGTGAGCTATGAGTCTGTCTGCAGTTCAGCAGGACATCTGTCACTGTGTACAGCTCTACTTGCTGTTGTCCAGCGGTGCATTTCAGTTCAGTCAAGAAAAGACTCGAGGGCAAGAGGGTGTGTGTATAAAAGCAATTGTAATCTTAGATTAATATGTTCGGTGCCTTTGGCATCTTATTACCAATTACCAAATAAACAACCCATCGATAAGGGGATATTTTTACACACAGTGTTATTGGGACATGGAGCGCATGGCTGAACCCAGAATAATTTTAAAAGGCAGTTTAACAAGGATTTGAAAATGAATGAAATGTAAAAGGTTGTGGGGAGGGAAATGTAGGGCTGAACCTGAACACATCTTTTACACAGCCAGCACACAACACAGGCTAAACGGCCTCCTGCTGTGATTGAGATTACATCTGGCAAAGGATTCTCCCTCCCGGCTCTCTCCTCTCTCTCTGAGTAGTGATCTCTCTCTTTCCCCGTTTCACTCACTCTCTCTGTGAGCGTGTCTCTCTGTCTGTCTGCCTGCCTCTCTCTCTCAATCTCGCTGTGAACAGGGCTCTCTCTTACTCTCTCCCCATTGGAGCTCTCTACTCTAGTCCCATTCTCTGTGTCTCTCATGGCCTCACATGGACATGTGTAATAAAGCGGGCTCCTCACGTCCTGTTCCACCCCAGGTTCCTGCTGAAGAGGCTGTTACCACAGCAGGCGGTGTTGGATGGCAGCGATACCCTCATGCTGCCCGTGGGCACCCCTGAGGGGAGCAGCCTGCCCGCCACCCCAATGCCCAGCGTCTCGGGGGCAGAGGAGCCCGCCAGCAAAAAATCAAAGAAGGACAAGAGAGACAAAGTGAAAGATAGCAAGGAGGATGGTAAGTACTTCTCTGTCACGGTGAGGACAATGAGCATTTTCCCTCGCGGTGAGGACAGTGAGGACACTGCGCACTCCGAAAAACAGTAAGAACTCAGTTAGCCCTTGTTCAGTGGCAGCCAGGCTGTCATTCACTCTCAAACCTGTGAACAGGAGTTTGTGGGTTGAAGCCCCGGGTAGGGTACTCTGAGCTCACAGTCCAGGCTGACGCCCCAGTGCCGCATTGTAAGAGGTGCCATCCTTCAGATGAGATATTAAACTGAGGCCTCATCTGTACCCAGTCAGCTGTCCTGTCCACTAATCCTGTAGATACATTCATCATTCACCTCATACCTACAGACAGCAACCAGTACATCTGAGCTCACTGTGTGTGAAGGGCTGTGAGATGTATGGATGTTAGAGAGCTGAATCACATATAGGAGTTGCTGGTGATTGTGTCCTCCCCAGTCTGCAGCAATGGCCGGCATGTCCGCCAGTCGTTCAAACAAGAGTGAATGTTGGGGTATTGATGAGCAAACACTAAACTCCAGATTCAGTTTGTACTTTTTACGTGTTTGCAGTTCAGTACTTCTCTCTATTGTCCAACACAGTAACTGCTGTGTCAGACTGATTAGGGAGAGGAATATTAATTGTGCTGTGTGTCAGACTGACCGGGAAGAGCGATAGGAGGTGTGTCCTGGGTTAGTGACTTGTTTGCTGACAGAGTTTTAGACATGGATTGATTTGTCATATAAACATTTTCTATTTCAGCCCCTTTGATCACCTGTCCCAGGCCTGAAACTAAATGTTATTAATGGGGGCTCAGTGTTAAGATACCTCCCTAACACAAAGCACAGCTCTTTACCCAGGTACATTAACAAGCACTTGCTGGCTTATAAAGAGTATATTGGGCTGTGAGTAATTTCTTTCCTTTCACTGAGTTGTGAAAGCCTGCTAATGGAGCCAGCAGCTGCTTACATCCAGTGTCACACTGGCCTCGGACACATTGCCAGCTTTTACATCAAACTTAAAGAGAAGGGATACACGTGTAAATTATAAACTCCAGGGGATGATGGGCCAGAACATCAGGAGTGGTACCTGGGATCTTTAACATCCACCTGATCAAGCAGACAGGACCTCAGTCTCATCAGAAGGATGGCACAGCGAAGCACTCCCCAGCTTTGGGAGTGTCAGCCGGCACTCTGAGTTGGAAGGACATCTCGAAGCACGTTACACACTTCTGGACAGCATCCGTGATGGCTGGGTGCCAAGCCGAGGGGGGTAGGGGGGGCAGGAGGGAAAAGCTACTGAAAGTGCAAGGTCTGCTATATGTAAGTGAGAGTAAACGTGTCTGCTGTGTGTAAGTGTATTTATAAATCTGCTTTCACATAAAGAGGTTTGTACATACATAAGCTTTTGTATACATATCTGGGTGAGCACCTATCAGCCATGTATAAGACAGGAAGTGTGAAATGGCTGATGGGGGGGTGACTGGCAGAGGGTGATGGGGAGGTGTGATGGTGAGGGTGACAGCGGGAATTGCATTGACTGACATCATCCACACAATTGTAGGGCTGAAGAAAGTCACAAAGAAGAAAAGAACAGGCGAGCGAGCGACACGGAGGTTTGTTCAGCCCATCCCACTGGATCCATGCGGGAGGCCCATATTCCCCATCGTGCTGGGAGGTCTGACCATATACAGCCTGGGAGAGGTTAGTGTCAAGGCAATAACAACAACAAGATTACATTTGTATAGCGCCTTTCACGTCGGGAGGACGTCCCTGATGCAGGAACTCTGGAGTATCTCGGAAGGTCCATAATAATTATAATAATAATAATCCTTGCGTTTGATATAGCGCTTTATCATGCCTTCTAGACATCTCAAAGCACTTCACAGTATATACCGTAAAGTGGATTGACTGTTTATTTTGTGGGCGAATTGACCTTATTTACCCGGTGACTACACTGCACACCCTGAGATATTTGGACCATGTGATAAGACGCTATACAAAATGGGGATTGTTATAATAATAATAATAATAATAATCCTTGCATTTGATATTGCGCTTTTCACGTCTTCTAGATGTCTCAAAGTGCTTCACAAAATATGCTGTAAAGTGAATTGACTGTATATTTGTGGGCGAAACGCGGCAGCTAATTGCGCACAGCAGTGTCCCACAAACAGTCGTGGATTGAAAATGACTAATTTATTATTGTTTTGTTTTGGAGGGATTATTATTAGGTGTGTGGAGTAAGGAAACTTGCCCAAGGTTTCGCCCTGCCTGGAATTGAACCCAGGTGTCTCGTTGCAAGGGAGTGCTCTAACCACTGAGCTACAGGACTCCACACTGAACGAGTGTGTATGGGTGAGGGTGGGCAGGTTACCAGTGTAATGAAGCACCAGCACACTGGCGCAGGCCAAGGGCTGAGCAGATTGAATTCAATCTTCAAACCCACGTTCAGGTCCCAGATCGACTCTCCCCTACCCAACCCCTCCCTCCCCACCTCGCTCACACCCTGTCCGTCTGCTCAGTTAACATCAAGCTGCTCCGGGGTTCACTCCTCGCCCCAAATTTAAGCCAAATCCAAATGAACCATCAGCTTGCTCCGGTCACTGTGTTCGAGGCTCTGGCATAGATTGGCTGCCACGTTGCCTTCATAATATTCACTTTATTTAAAAACAAAGTCACTACACTCAAGAATATCATTGAGATATCTCAACAGTGTGATAAGGTACTGTTTCAAATGCAAAGATTATTATTACTAAAGGTTATTATGACTAATCATACTCTTTGAATTTGGTACAGCACCTTTCGCATCGGGAGGATGTCTCAAAGCACTTTGCGTAGAGTGTTAAGAGTGTATTGTTTAACAGTGTATTTTGTAGGCAGACCGGGTAGCCAATTGGTGCCCAGTGACATCCCACAAACAGCCATGAAGTGAATGAGCAATTTCATTTGGGGGGATTGTTGGCCAGGACACTGGGGGAGAGAAACTCCCTTCTCTTTTCAAATAGCGAGTGGGATCCTCAATGTCCCCCTGACCAGGCAGGCAGGGTCTTGGTTAACATCTCATCCGAAGGCAGCGCCTCCAACAATGCAGCGCTCCCCCAGCACTGAATTGAAGTGTCAGCTTAGACAAGCAAGTCCTGATTTAGTCCCTTATTATTTAAGAGATTTATTTTTACATAACTGACTGCTGGATAACTGCAGATTGCTGTATTTTCAGATCATCACAGATCGACCCGGTTTCTGTGATGAAGCCGCAATCTACCCAGTGGGATTTTGTAGCACCCGCGTCTATGCCAGTGTGAAGGACCCAGAGCAACAGTCACTGTACACCTGCCAGATCAAAGATGGGGGAATTGGACCACAGGTACTTCATATCCAGTGCTTAGCAACACTAAGCTACAACACACCTCACACAGATACCTTTGCTATGGCTACTCTGAAATGCTTTTGCCTCGTCAACTGCTAACCTCGGGAGCGGGTGGGGGTTTGGAGGGCTCTCCAAGGACCTGTCACGGGTCAGGGAATCCTCCAATTCAGCTCCCATTAACCGTGCAAGCCAAAGCCCAAATGGGTCCTAGCCAGACAAGCAGCAAGAAGCTTGCCAGACACTTATTATTATTATTGTTTGCAATGGCAAACTGCGAAGGTTTGAAGCAAGCCAGGTGCTGTGAGGTATAGAGTGTGTGTGGGGGGAGGGGGGGGTGGGGTGGAGTGGGTAGACAGTTCACACTGGGAATGTTGTCAATAAATGCGAGGAGTTGCACAGAGGGTGTGGGAAGTCTTACAACAAGTGAAGTCCAGTCAATTTCTGTCATTTAAAAGGAGATATAATGAGGTACAGGGATATAGCAGAGATATCGGGGATATCTCCCCCTTGGAGAAGCTAACAGGATTGAAACAGATTTTCTTTTCTGATGTTCCGCATCAGTTCTGTATCTCCTCCTCCTCTATTATGCACAACAGTGTTCAGGCTGTCAGCTCTCCTCACAGTGGGCCTTGAGGTCGCAACCTTCAGAGGCAAGAGGCCTCCAGCTGACTTCAGTCAAAGGGATCCCAGCAAATAGCCCAATAACTCCCTGAGCCACTTAGAAACAAATACAGCATCGAATGAGGTCATTCCACTCCACAAACCCACTGGAGCTCTCCACTCTAATCCCGTTCCCTGCTCTCTCCCCATCATGTCTGTGCTGGTGCTCACTCCCCCACTGGAGCTCTCTAATCCCATTTCCAGCTCTCTCCCCATCATATCTGTGCTGATGTTCGCTCTAATCCTATTCCCCTGATTGTTTCCGTTCCACATTATTTCTCTCAATGTATATCTAGTTCCCTTTAAATTGGTGTTAGAATCTTAACCTCAGTAGCAAATTACAGCCAAACATTCCACAGTGTAAAGCTTGGTGTGAAGGCAGTGGGACAATGCTAAAGTATTGATGTTGATCTGCAGCTTGTTGCTTTCCCTGGATGCCATGCTGTTAACCTAAATCTATCACACGCTCCTGATTGATGTTGTTTTGCTGATGGTAAATGTAGCGTGGGTGTGTGTACAATCATACACTACAAGGCGATGATGGGGCTAAGTTGATTGTGCCTGTCACCGGCATACAAAGAGAGCTCCCTGTTTGTGTAATTGAACACAATACGTACATCCTGTGTTGGAAGAAATAACTCCGAACAATGCTGGATGCGTTCCTCTCCATCGCAACTGCCACCGCTTCACACAGTGCCCTAGGGCGCCGTGTGCTGCCGGAAAAGTGGGGGGCCTAGTACGGTGGAGGGGGTTGGGTGGGCTCAGTGCGGGAGGAGTTTTTGTGGGGAGGAGCTCTCGGTGTGGGATGGGGGTGCTTGCTGCTGAGGAGGGTTGGTGCATGGGGTTTATCGTGGGTGGGGGCTGGGTGCCGGGTGGGGGATTTCCTGGACGGGGCGGTGACTGTTTTTGTCATTTACACAGTTTGAGATTGTCCCTGAAGACGACCCTCAGAATTCGATCGTTGCCTCATCGGCCGCTGCCTGTCACGCTAACCTGCTCAAGGCCATCGTCTCCGCTCGGTGAGTCCACAGCCCTCGCTGGTCCCCAGGTGATGTATTGGGGACAGTTTGGGCCCCATTATAGGTTGGATATACCATAACGGGAAAGGTGCAGAGAGAGTCACTGGGATGTTCTCAGGGACAAGGTTCCAGTCCTGAAGAGAGACTGGAGAGGCTGGAGCTAAAAGGGTTAATGGGCGACCTGACTGAGGGCTTCATGATGATGAAGGTGGCGATGGGGTAAATAGTAACAGATTATGCCACTGGACAGCCAGTTGGGAAACAGGCAGATTTCAGACAATCACACCGAGAACCAAAGGGAAGTTTAGACACCCTGTCTGTACACACAGGCTGTGGGATTCCCTGTCGCAACCCTGAGATGAGGCAGCGTCATTGGGGGGGAGGGAGGAAAGAATGGGGCTAGAGTGGGGGTGGGAAGGGGAGTAAATTGCAAGCATGGAGTGAAAGCCTGTTTGTGATGTGGTGTAATGGTGCTTGGGCAGTATACGGTCTCCACCCCCACCACCTCCCCCAGGGCTTTGGGTGGTAATTGCTGCGTGCAGACTGCTTGCCCCATTCGTCCACACACAGTCAGGACTTTACAGTGTGTGTTCTGTGAAGCGATTTGAGACGTCTCAACGGGGCGGTGTCAAACACAAAGATGATTATTATTAAAGCCCTGAATCAGCACTGAGTTGCTCATTGTGTAGCCTGGTGAGCTGTTTTTCTGTGTGTGAGGTTAATGTACTTTCCCTCCTCATGCTCAGAGGACAGACATTCACCAGCGTGTTGCCGTCCGGAGCTGCTTTCTTTGGCTTCTCACACCCCACCATTCAGAACCTGATCCAGAGCTGCCCGGGAGCCAGGAAGTGTGCCTGGTAAGACTGTCTCGCTAACCTGAGGTCAGACTGAGTGCTTCAGGAATGGTCTGCTCACAAAGCGGCGCACGGTCAATCAGCACAGATACAAGCTGCAGAGATGTGAATACAGAGGCTCTGGCCACTCCTGTGACAGGGATAAATGTAGCTCCGAGCAGAAAGTGAGTGAGTCTAGTTTTGTCTCTCCAGTGACAGCCCGACTGCCCCCAGGGCTGAGTGGGGATCAGTCACCAGCTGTAGGCCATCAGGTCCCTGTGAGCAGTCCAGTAGCTCAGTGGTTAGAGCACTCGCCTCGCAAGTGAGAAGACCTGGGTTTGATTCCCAGGTAGGCAGAAACGTTGGGCAAGTTTCCTTACCCCACACGCCTTTGTTTACTGTAAGTTGGAACCCAGTTGTTAGTTGATTGGCAGATCACTTTTCTGGTGGTAATAATCCCTTCAAAAAAAAATAATTTTGTCACTCAATCCACAACTGTTTGTGGGACACTGCTGTGCGCAATTCACTGCTGCGTTTCGCCCACAAAATATACAGTCAATTCACTTAACAGTTTATTCTGTGAGACGTCGAGAAGACGTGATAAGGAACTATATCAAATGCGAGGATTATTATTAACAACAAGCAAGAGGAAGTTTAGTTCAAGGGTGGTGATCAGTGCAGAAGGAGCTTTTTACTCTGTCTCTAAACCTGACCTTCGAGTGTGGATGGATAGTGTATAGAGCTTTACTTTGTCTCTAACCCGCTCTGTCGCCTGATGTGGGAGTGATGAATGCCGGATGCTAATGCTGGTACTGATCTTGTTGACGTGTTGCCATGCTCTGTGCCCACAGTTATCGGTGGGTGAGGTTTGAGGTGTGCCGGCCTGGAGATGGGCAGGTGCCTCACGACTTGCCAGAGGATGATGCTTCTGTTAACTTTGAAGCTTTGAGGCATCGAGTATATGAGGAGAGACTGATTAATCAGTCTGAACCAGGTAACCATCTCACAGCTAACTTCATCACATCTCATACTGTACAGGAGATAGCAGCTCACTGTACACTGAGAGAATAGTTAAAGTCATGGTTTGTGTGTGTGTGATTACAGTGATGATGTGTGCGTGAGTGTGTGTTTGATTAGTGATGGTGTCTATGTGTGTGATTAGTGATGGTGTATGTGTGTGTGTGATTACAGTGATGGTGTCTATGTGTGTGATTAGTGATGGTGTGTGTGATTACAGTGAAGTGTGTGTGTATGTGTGTGTGTGTTTCCAGTCACGGTGTGTTGTTGACAGTGTGTCTGTGTGGTGTGTTTACAGTCATGGTGTGTGTCTGTGTGATTACAGAGACGGGGGATGCCTGTGTTTACCATTAACAGTGTGTGTGTGCGTGAATGTCTTTCCAGTCACGGTGTGTTGTTGACGGTGTGTATGTGTATGCTGGTGAGGTAACTGACTCCCTGTCTGCCCTGTTAGGTACCATGGGCCTTCAGTTGGGACCCAGGCTGCAATGCCCAGCCTCAGACACCTCCAGCACTCTCCACTCCCTGCTCTCTTCCAGTTCTGCATCGGCACTTCTGGTCCGAGGTACCGTATACAAGGGCTTGTGTTTTCATTGTCTTTCACTGAGTGGGATAGTGTACACTGCAGACAGAATCAGCCTGGCTTAGCTGATAACACTCTTGCCTCTTGAGTCAGGAGGTTTAAACCCCACATTGGGACCCTGAGCTCACAGTGTAGGCTGACACCCCAGTGCAGCGCTGCGGGAGAGTCGCATTGTCAGAGGTACCGTCTTTCAGATTAGACTTTAATCTACGGCACCGTTTGTGCTCTGTTCGGATGGACGTGTGGGCGGGGCATGGTTGTGTAGGGCGGTGGCTGTGGTGGGGCAGTGGCTGTGGGGGGGCAGTGGCTGTGGGGGGGTAATGGCTGTGGGGGGAGCAGGGAATGGCGGATGCGGGGGTGGTGAGTGCTGGCTAGAAGTTTGCTGTGCCTGTCGAGGCCAGTCGTGTGGCAGATCTCAGTGTGTTGCGCTCACACCGGCCTGTCATTGTTCTCCTTGCAGCTGCGATGGAGCCGAGCAAGCTCCCACCCACCCAGCACCCCGGGTTACCACAGGAGCAGGCCTCACCACAGCATCATCGCCGGTCATCCCCAGCACCCTTCAGCTCACCCAAACTGTGCGAGTGAGAAGCCACCGGCCAGCTGGCTCCCGGCACCAGTGTCCCGGCCCCAAGCCCTGAGCACTGAAAGTGAGGACTGACTGACTGACTGACTGACAGCTGCTGCCTGCCAGGTGTGACTGTCACAGCAACTGGCGACCAGGGTTACAGGACCAGAGTGGGAAGCAGTTGGCCGAGATCATGGCCACCTGTGGGCTGTGTAGCACTCTGCGTGTTTGTGTGTGTGTGTGTGTGCGTCTGCAGCCTGACCATACACTGCGCTGTGTGTGTGTGTGAACAGCGTGTCATACACAACACTGAGCTGTGTGTGAGTGTGTGTGTGTGCTCGTGCGCATCCTGTCCATATGCTCTGTGTGTGTGTGTGTTCAGCCTGTCTGTACACTGTGCTGTGTATGTGTGTGTACAGCCTGTCATACACTGTGCTGTGTGTATGTGTGTGGACACTGTGCATACACTGTGTTGTGTGTGCTGGCTGTGTGTGTGCGTGTGTGTTGGTTGTACTCTGTCTGCCTGCACAGGCACGCTGCTCTCTCAGGATGACGGTAGTTCAGCTCGACCTTTGAAGGGAGACAGAGTTTCCCAATCTTTTTATACAGATATCCCAGGCCTGAATGATTCAGCTCAGGTTTTGATGCCTGAGATTTCCCCATTAAATAAATGCCTGTTTAAACCTCAGTGATTTGTGGCCTCAGCTGCCTGTGCGGCGATTTTGCAGAGAAGCTGAATGACAGTTCGCTGTCAGGGTGCGAGGCTGAGGCTGGGTGCTCACACACTGGCTGTCTCTCTGCCAAACAGCAACTGGCAAGCTTTACATCCACCCAGAGTGGAGTGTGTGACACTGAGACACGGCGGCTGGGAGTGGAGTGTGTGAGTGTTACACGCAGCGGGTTTGAGCGTAGTGGAATGTTTACGCACATAGTGTGAGAAGAGTGGAATGTGTGAGTGTTACACACACAGTGGGAGTGAGCGGAGTGGGGTGTGTGAAAGAGGATTTGCAGCGTAGGGTGTGCTCTTTACTGACGCGAGCTGTTCCACATGCTGGTGAGCAGAGGTATTGCCATGTGCGTGAGTGGAACAACAACGACGACAAAATTACATTTGTATAGCGTCTGTCACGTCGGGAGGACGTTCCAAGCCGCTGTACACCGTGTGTGTGTATCAGTGAGTGTACACTGTGTGTGTCAGTGATAGTTGGCTTTAGTTTACTGGCTGATTTACAGGAGTGTACGAAGGAAACCCAGACCTGTAACACTGTCTGTAACACAGTTCGATCCTCTTGTCACCTTCTGCCCTCAGCCACAGTCCTCAGAGCTCTATCTGGCTCCTCGTAACTTCGCGGACACACGCATACACAGCCTTTAATATTTCCTCTCTAGCATTTGTCCAATTCCCTTGTGAAGATTTTACGGCTCTGTTACCTCTGTGGGTGTGCTGGAGAATCCCACCTGCCCTCCACACCCCACTCTCTCTCTCTCTCTCCCCATTGCTGCACCATTTGCTAATTTATGTATTTACGGAAGAAACTAATTTCACCAGATTCTCCCAAAAAGCCCTGAGCAACCACAGTCAGAGCCTATTTTAACCCAAAGGATACCGTCTCCCAACAATGCAGGCGCTCCCCCAGCACTGCACTGAGCATCAGCCTAGTCCTGACCTGGAACTTGAACCCACAACCTCCTGACTCCGAGATGAGAGGGTCAGTGGCTGAGCCAGGCTGACATCTGCTTGGAAAGAGGAATTTCACCTCCCTCTTCCCTTCTCTCCTCCAGCAGCAGCTGAGCGAAGGGGTTGGAGGGAGGAGTGGGGGGAGCAGGTTGGAGAGATAGGGAGGTGCCAGGACAGGAAGCGATTTGTGGATGAGTGTGAGGGGATGAAATGGTTCTGTGACGGATCCAGAGGAGCGTGGCAAACGCAGGGTAATGGGGGTGCGAGTTTTGAAAATCGGTGAGAATTCCAATGTTCCGCTAATGGTAATGAATATTTAGTCCATGAAGTACTCATAGCGGCCCTGCTTCAGCAAACAGTATGGAATGGCAATGTGCACCCACACTCTGCCCACGGAAGGAAGGGACCAAGCAGATCAGATTGAGCCTATTGACTCATCATCTCTATCTGTAAGTCATAGTGAGAATCATCAAGGTCCCTTCGCTCGGCTGCTTCAGGCCTGATCCTATCCACTCCACCATTGGTGGGCATGCTTTTAGAGGAATGTCTTGAAACGGGCCTTGAAGGTGTGGGACGGGGCAAAGAGACTTTGGGATGGAGTTCCAGAGGGTGGGGCAGAAAGGCTGAAGGTCCGACTATCGGTGGTGGGGTGGGTAGGGCGGGGACATGGGCACGCTGAGTGCCCACTGAACGATGGGAGTGGACAGGTTGGTAAGGCTAGAAAGTCACCGAGGTAGGGAGGAGCAAGATGAGGGATTTGAAGACGAAGACGAGAATTTTGAACTCTTGTCCTCTGGGGGATAGAGAGCCAACTGAGCCAGGCCAGGGTGGGGGTGATAGGCTCAATAATGATAATTATTTCTGTGCTGTTCCACTCGGTGTAACTGTGTGTCGTCTTTGTGAATACAGCAGCTCTGACAATCCCTCGCTCGCTCACTCACCATGTACAGCCTGGCCTTCAGGAGAGGCTCTTCTGATTGTTTGGAACAGGTTTAGTAGCTGAGAGCTAAATTACTGTTGGGAACGGACAACAGCATATCCCGTAGTTTTGCTGATCATTTTAATAACCATTTCCAAAACATGTAGTACCTGTTCAAGACCTGCTGAGGGCATTGTGCCCTTGCTTCTGATCCAATGCTGGATCTATACAGCTTCCAGTTCAGGATGTTCAAACCATCGTGGAGCTCTCTAATCCATTCCCTGCTCTCTCCCCGTCATGTCTGTGCTGGTGCTCACTCCCACACTGGAGCTCTCTGCTCTAATCCCATTCCCTGCTCTCTCCCCATCATGTCTGTGCTGGTGCTCGCTCCCACACTGGAGCTCTCTGCTCTAATCCCATTCCCTGTTCTCTCCCCACCGTGTCTGTGCTGGTGCTCTGTCATTAGAGGGCTGGCTGGATTCCAATATTATGTTTCCAAACGGATCACCTTGGAGACAGTTTAGCTCTAAGGAGACCCCACTTACCCCCCCCCCCCACCACCCAGGAGGATAGTGACAAGTTCATAATTTTCCATCCGACAAGTGAGGATTTGAGCCATCACCAGGTGGATGGTAGGTACAGGTAACTTCCTGAGAGGAACAAAGCTCAGCATGAAATGCGTGAGAGCATTGCCACCGTCTTCCTGCCCACAGCTCGTGCACTCGCCCTTTTCCACTGAGCAATGGGCCCACCCATTGGAGGTGCGGAGTTTAAGCAGCAGCTGCTTGTCTCTCTGCAGGCCAATCAAGGTGGATTTCAGGCATTGGACTTATGAACTCGGACTCCAGGTAACGCCTTCCAGCAGCTTTTGTCACAAGCCTCAGAGTTTCCTCATTGGCTATCTGGTGGGCATCTGCCTTCAGCGTTTTAGGAAGACCTTTACAGGACAGCTTGTGACGTGTCAGCCACCTTAATAATTTGCAAGTCCAAGTTCAAATGTCGGGTACCAGGTTAGTTAGCACCAGTTACTTAACTGCCAACGGAGCAACTACACTGCTCATGATCAGTGGTCAGGAATCCCTAGTGCAAAGGATTATAGCACTAGAGGTGACCAGCTGTTCTGCCATCCATCAAGGCTGGGTAGATACTCAGCAAACTCTCCTCATTCCAACATGTGGACCAATCCTGGGCTGCGGCCCCCAACACCCAGTCCCCAACTCAAGGAACTTGTTGGTAACCAAGGGTAGAGGAATAGAAGTGAGTGAGTGAGTGCGTGAGTGAGTGAGTGAGTGCGTGCAGGTTTGAGTTTAGGGAGTTTGGAACAAACACGGAGGTCAGAATGTGGAACACACTGCCCGAGCTGCAGGAAGCTGTGGTTCAAACAGAACACAGCAACATATTTGAGAAAATTTGTTGAATTCCTGAGGGGGAAGGGAACAGAGAGAAATAAGGGAGGTAGAGGCTCACTCGTGTGAGGTATAAACACCGGCACAAACTGGTCAGGCCTGTTTCTGTGACAAATCTAGCTCTCCCTGTCTGCCCTCCACTTTCTCTTCAATACTGACGCAGAGTGACATACACAGAGTGTGGGACTGTGTGTGATGGGGAGTGTTTTGTGTCCAGCACTTCAGTGTGGCTGAACCAGCTGTTGGGATTTCCGATCCTGAGGTTCAAATAATGACCCGACAATCCAATTAAGGTGTATTAGAGATTTATTAATCAAAGTAACACACACAAAACTAGTAAAATAATACTGCCACTACAAATAACAACTTATACTACCAGTTTTGGAGCAGTCAGTCAGTTGCGATGGTTTCAGCACACCTTCTCTCCAATGGTTCAGGTGTCCTCTTTGTCTGCTGGATCTGCTGCCTAACTTGCCTCAAGTCAGGATAGTTATACTCTTTCCACCTAGAGATCTTCCCCCCGTTCTTCTCCAATCAAGCATCTTAGCACGTACCCAACGTACTCGACACTTGCACATCCTTGTACCCATATCTTCTAGATAAAGCAGACTCTTTTGAGATAAAGCAGCTTGCTCATTATTGTTCAACACAGGACATCTTGCTTCTCCCTTCCAAGGCTGGAGCCTGTCTCTGTCTGGTAGAAACATTTAACGTGATCGGCATATGTTCACGGAATACTGAGCAGTTTTACTTAGGTGCCCTCATGGAATGCAAATTTCTTGGGCCCTTCTTGAAGCCTGTCCTATGTCTTCTCTCACCATCACAACTGACTGATCATTGACCTTTTAGAACCAGGATAGTTTATTCTGCAAATTCTTAAAATGTTAGGAAAACAGTTTCTAATTATGACTAACAGTTTCTTTCTCCCCCATCATGCATATTTGGGTGTTGATATACACATATATATATTTATATTCACTATTCTTTATTACAAACCATATTAAAATCAACCCTTTCTAACACAGCTGCCAGCGATTCTTAGATCTGTACTGAGATCCCAGCAGCCCTCTCCCCTGTCCCTCTCCTCATGCTCCATGTACACAGCCCTTGGTAACCCCCAAACACTGACTACAAGAAAGACTAAAAATGAGTCAGCATTTCCTGCTTCAGAGGATAATAATAACAATCCTTGCATTTTATATGTGTGTGTCGGCCCGGCTCGGTGTGTGTCGGCCCGGCTCGGTGTGTGTCGGCCCGGCTCGGTGTGGGTCGGCCCGGCTCGGTGTGGGTCAGGCCGGCTCGGTGTGGGTCAGCCCGGCTCGGTGTGGGTCAGGCCGGCTCAGGGTGTGTCAGCCCGACTAATAAATTAGTCATTCACTTCACAGCTATTTGTAGGAGATTGGTCTGCACAAATTGGCTGCAATGTTTCCCTACGCTTTGCAGTGTCTCTTGTGAAGTGCTTTGAGATGTGATGCTATAACAGGTGTAAGATTATTCAACTCTGGGCTGTTTGATACAACATCTCCAGTGTTAAAATGTCTCAAAGTGTCTCCCAGTGTCTCGCTGAGACAGAGGGCTTGTGTGTGTGTGAGGGGGAAGGGGGACGTGCAGTGGCTGGCAGATTGCCCGTGTGTGAGGCTAGCCGATGTCATTCTTCACACTGAGAAACCACACAACAATGCAAA